ACAACAGGAGTCTGGTGAACCGACAATAAACACCGAGGAGCAGGTACATACCGCACCACCCCCAGTTGTCGAGACAAAGGAGTTACCTACACCAGCCATCAATGATGATATGGATACCGGTACACCTATCTCGCAAATAGACAGTAATCTATCAGCAAAACAGACTATAGCTGAAGAGAAAAAGAAAAGAACGACTACAGAAGTAGATCCCGCCCGACAGGGTGTCGAGGGTCGATCTGAAGTGGATAAAACTCTACAGAAAGAGAAAAAAAAGAGACAACTAGACGCTCGAAGCTACACCAAAGGACTAAAGGTGAAGAAAGTATGCTTGGATCTTCCACAAACTATGTATGTGATGGATATTGTCGACAACGACTTGTATCTGCTCGTCAATAGCGTTACTTTGGAGTTGCACGACTTCATCTACAAAGACCAGAACAAAGACACGTACCAATACATCAAAAGAAGTTTTGACACTTGGCTTGATGTTAGGAACAGCAAGAACTTTCTATTCAGTCAAGAAAGGATGCAAGCAATAGTGACAATTGAAGGTCTTTCCACCCATAAAGATCTATTTTGATATAAAAATATTAAAATTCGGTTTAAAATATTATTTCCAGCGTCAAATGATAGCTTATTGTACACTGATTCCAAAAATATATGGTTTCTATACATTTTTTTTTAAATAAGGGAGATAATTTGTTACTTCCGGTTTGAAAAATGTTACTTTTGGTATAATTTGAATGTTTACTTGACACTGATTCCAAAAATATATGGTTCTATATACTTTTATATTAAATAAGTACAAACAATAGCTACTTCCGGTTTACACAAGGTCACTTCCGGTTGGATTTTTCAAGGTCAAATGGCTTGTAACCTAATGCAAAGAGTCCCATGGCTTTATCATGTATACATATGAGGTAAAAGCAAAGGTCAAAATCTAGAACGTCAAATTTACCTATGACCTTGAGCTCAATTTCAAGGTCATAAACCAAGGACCTCAAATCAAAAGACCCTAGGTCTTACTTATATATGGTTAATAAGTTATATCACCATACGCGTATTTTTAAATACAAGAGGGGAGAAAACTCTAATTTAATGTTAGCGCACCCTTTAACCAAAATGTATGTGTTACGACATGTCGCAACTAACAATTTAGTAATAATATGTTGCCGATATCTTATACGGAGTGAAAATAAGCCAAAATCAAAATTCAGAATATGACCTTGACCTTTGACCTTGACCAAATTTTCTTTTTTTTTTTTGGACCAAGGACCTCAAATCAAAAGACCCTAGGTCTCAATCACTTATGGTTTACCAGTTAGAAATGCATATCACTTATATCAAATGCATAAGGGGAAATAACTCTCATATGGAGTCTCCGGAACGCTTCGGTGAAAACCAAACTCAACATCCTGAAGATATAGTGAGCAATTTGGTAAAATAAATTTGTCGTAATCTTTTACGGTTGCGAAGGAGTAGTGGCCACAAGAAAAACAGTGTTTGGGGAGATAACTCTTACAACGTAAAGTATTCGGTTAAGCGGTTGTCAGTTTCAAAAGCGTATAAACTGTTCGATATCACATACCAAATATCTAAGCGACATCTTATGAAACAACAATACTACGCAAGAAAAAAAATAGGCGGAAGAAAAAAAAAAAATAATAATAATCAGAACAAAATCAATAGGTCTTTCCACGGAAAAGTGGAAAGACCTAATTAGTTTAGAATAAAGGGCGAGATAAGCCCCAAGACCTGTTAAATTCCCGTTTGTTATACTTTGTGTTAAAGGGGCGAAATAAGCTCAATCCCCTTTTTTGCCCTAAAAAAAGAAAAAAAAAAAAAAGTTAACTACTAATGAACTGATGAAATTAATCATTTGACTAATCGAATACTAATAGTTAAATATGTCAGGAAACTCTCATAATGTCTGATGATGGCAGTGAAACACACCAACAACAGCCCGTATTATCTGGTGATATCTTTACCATTTCGCATTTGTTAGAACACCAAACCGCCGACTGGGTTTTATCAGCTCGGAATGGAAGTTACAAACTTATAGTAAAATGGACACCCGGGAAGATAGCGGAAAGAGAGGGGTCGACATTACCACCAAAAAAGAAGTCATCAAAGTCCCGTTCTGAAAGGAATAACCGCAAACTGAGGGCATTTTTGGCCAAAAAGTCCGAGTCAACTGCAGAGATTGGAAATCCAGCTCTATTTTTAGACACAGACTTCTCAAAACCTGATGAGCTAGGCATTACCGCTCAACCAATAGAGACAGATTCAGCAACGGACGCACAGATTGAGTCAGTTTCTAAGAAAGATGAAGCTCCTCCACCACCAACAGCCACATCATCGCCAAAAGGTCCCGCTTCCTCTGGAGGTGCCGAGGGTCAATCGACAACTGGTAGAGAAAGAAAGGAACGCCGCAAACACAAAAAGGGGGAGATAAGAATACAACACATCACACTAGACCTTCCACAAAAGACTTACTTACTTGAAGTGGAAGGAGAAACAACGATACTAAAAGCCAATTGTGACACCTTAAAAGAACAAGGGCTGATAGAGAAACACGAGAATGAAGCCTTTTACAAGGAGGTCAAGAGAAGCCATGACCATTGGTTAGATGTCAGAGATAAGAGGAACTTTCTCTACTCAGAACAGCGAGTGAAAGACATCGAAAAGATAGCAGAACAGAATAATTTGTATCTGTATTTATTTAAATAAAGGGCGAGATAAGCCCAGGCCCTATTAGATTGTTATACATTTTTTTGTTAAGGGGGCAACAAATGCCTACCCCCCCCCCCCCCCACCCCCCCCCCCCCCCCCCCAAAAAAAAGAAAAAAAAAAGTTAACTACTAATGAACACAAATGGCTTATCGACCGAACGTTACAACCAAAATGTCCTTCAGCATTGAAGAACTATCAAAGAGCAGCAGGATTCTGTAACCGTCTGTACTGAGGTAATTGTTAACAATATCCACGACAAATATCTACCAAACAGAAGTCAGTCATTAACAGCCCACATGATCCTTCCACTTACCATCTCAACTCAACGTCCGCAATACAAGAGGAAACTACTAGACGACTCATTGCATTCTGATGACAACAGCTTTAGTTCTACAGACTCGACATTAAGAGATTGTACTTCATCTGGTTCATGTTCAGACGACTCAGCCAAGTCCGACCAACAAACGAAGAGAACCAGAACTGCCTACACAAACTCTCAATTGAATGAACTAGAACAATACTACAGTAACAGCAAATACCTCCAAATTGAAGATCGTCAAGTGCTCGCCAAGAAACTCAAACTCAGTCAACATAAGATTAAATGGTGGTTCCAGAATCGAAGAACGAAAGAAAAGCGTCACATCAAGAGTACATGCTATAACGGTTCACCAGAGTTGTCACAGTTCGTTGGTGTAGGTAAACCTGGTTCCCGAATGATAACAACAATGGAATCCAATGGTTACAATAGTCAGCAGTTACACCCACCATTCCCTATGTTCTCGCTGTATATGTGTGGTATGTCACCGTTTATGTATCCTGGTTATAGTCAGCAGTTCTACAGCAGTGTTTAACCACAGGCAGTGCAACATAACATAACTTGATGATTTGAAATCAGCATTAACACTACATGTGCTGCAACTTAGTTAGAAAAGATTTATTTTGTTTGTTATATTTGTTTTGTTAATGATGTAAATAAATGTACAATAATTTGTCTATTGCCTAACTTGTCTTGTTTATGTTTATTTTATCAAGGAAATTGTGGAAACAAAATGATTAGGCTGTTTTGCTTCTCCGATGTATTATGTCATGTTGTGTTATAAAAAATGTATTTGTATTTATTGCACTGATAAGCATAATGTGCTTAAAGTAATAAAGAATTGTATTCAAATTCCTTTATATGTCCCCAACATACAGCTAGAGTTCAATAAACGGTCTTCAAACAATATGTCAAGCTCCAACTCGCACCCGAGTTTAAAACGTAAATGAAATTTAGAAAGACAGTAAATATCTGCTTCACTCAAAATTCTAATACAAAAAAAGAAAGAGAAAATATAATAAAAGCCCACAAATGACTAAGGACAGGCACATGGACAATTTCTTTTCTTTTTCTTGTTTTATTTTGTTGATCTCGGAACTCTACACTTAATCTCGATTACTTGGATAAGTAAATGTAAATAAAATAATGAACAGATAAAGCAATTATTTTTATTTTAAATAAGTATATATACTTTGAAAAAAAAAAATGAAAATATTGTATATAATAATTCTTGTAAAATGATGTTACATAAAAATACTGAACAACAACGAGAAAAATAGTTTATTGTGAATTGTATGAAATGCCTAGATTTATGAATGACAGATCATTTACATCAAAGAATGAAACGTCAGATTTTGATAAATAATATATCTGTACCTAAATGAATACAAGGCTCGTTCGAAAGCACGGTTGAGCCAGAAAGCAAGCCTTATGATTTTTGGGTCGACTTGAACTAGAAGGTCTAAAATTGAAGCCAAAATGTATTGCCTTAAATTTGTATATAGTGGACAAGATAACAGAAAGTACGAATAAGTTTTTTAGTCACCACAACTTTTAATCTTTAATGCTCCTATGTACTTTTGAAATCTAGCTTAACATAAAAGGGGTTGAAGTTACATAGAGGACATTCAAATTCATAAGTCGAAGAGAAATGATAACGCCATGGCAAAAAACCGACCAACAAGTCCACAAAACACAACATAGAAAACTAAAGACTGAGAAACATGAACCTCACGAAAAAACCCGAGGACGATCTCAGGTGCTCCGGAAGGGAAGGCAAATATAGTTCTACATATGACAGCCGCCGTGTTGCTCCTGATTCGGTAATACATCTCACTTGTAAATGTCTCAATCGAGTAGTCCGAGATTACTCTGACGTCCAACGGCTGTTTTGTCAGACAAGCTGGGGCCGTGGGACCACGGCCCCAGCTTGTCTGGCAAAACAGCCGTTGGACGCCAGAGTAATCTCGGACTACAATCGAGGGACTTCTAGAAGTATGATTCACCCAACTGGGATCGTACAGAATATTTAGAATAAAATACATCAATTTCTGTTTATAATTTCACTTATCTATTTTGGTTTTTAAGATAACAATCAGAAAAAAAAATAATGTGTATAAAATCTTATATGGTGTGGATTAATAGATTTTGACATGTTTAACCTTTGTAGATCTTGTTTATTGGTCATTTTTACTAATAACATTTGTCATGGTCTATTTATTATACTATTCAAGATAAAAACTAAATATGGGAAAATTATCATTTAAGAGAAATTTTGCGTTGATGGTTATTTTTTGCTGTTAAAAGTTTCAGTCTTTTTATTATGGATAACAAGTTATATAAGTAAAGACACTGGAAAACTGTTAAACAAACCATAATTTGAGGCAATAACTTCTATAAGCAGCATACTGATGATTCTCTCTATCTACTATAGTTTTTGTCAAAAACGTGGCAACTGATTTTTGTTTTGTTTTGTTAAATTGTCTAGCGGATCATTTTTGCTGTTTAATTCGACTGATGATTTTGGTCGTTTGGCTTAATGTCGATCTGATTTTGCTGATATTTTTTGCTGGTAACAAATTCTTTCTATCTGCTATAGTTTCTGTCCAAAATACAAAATTGGGTAAAATTTGTATTAAAGGAGTCAATGATGTTTTAAGATATTTACATTATTTGTAGGTTATAATCAAAACACAAAAAAAATATTTCACCATTTAAGGGAAATTACTGATATAAGGAGTAGTCTGACAATTTAATCAAAATAGACCTTAAGCAGATCTTGACATTTTACCATTTGTGCCCTGTCAAATTTTCTGTCTATAACAGTTTTCAAGATATTAGACAATACTTGCATTTTAACCCTTCTGTTCTATTCTTAACCGTGAAAGTCAATGCTGACTATGCGGTATGGGCTTTGCTCATTGTTGAAGGCCTTATGGTGACCTATAGTTGTTAATTTCTGTGTCATTTGGTCTCTTGTGGAGAGTTGTCTCATTGGCAACCATACCACATCTTCTTTTTTATATCAAAGATCAGCTATCAACATCCATTTGACACAAATATTAAAATACAGTAAAAGACAATCATTATTACTTTGGACTGACACAGTCATGAACATATGGCGGGCTTTAACTTGGTATTGCACGTTTATATGCCGAGCAGTGGGGTAACAGAATGTAAATTAGAGAACACACAAGAGACATCAGTCCAATAAAAATACTTATCACTATAATAACGGTGTACTAGTAATTCATGTTAAAATACAAGAATGTGAAAAAATAATTATGTACACGCTATACCGGTGCTGCAAGCAACTGCTTCTAGAGAAATATTCTATTGTCTTCAAGTCCATCAAACTCATTACAGAATGGTACTGAAAAAATGAAAACATACCAGTGACAATATATTACGATATTTTGTTCTTCCTAAATTCAAAAAGGGGCTTTTTGTATACTAGTATCTTATCTGAAGCTTCTCTTAAACCATCTACACAAGAATAGAATTTTCAACATAAAAAAAAAGTGTAGAATTTTGATAACTGTTTTCATATATAATGGAATTGGGTACATGGTTCCAAATAAAAAAAAAATCTCAGATTTTCCCTAATGTTTATCGCACCAAAAACATTGATTTCAGACATACAATTTTTTTTATTCTCGTTCTGCATGAAATTGGTTGTCAATTTTTTCATCATTTTCCACAAAATATATTTGATCCCTTTTTTCAATACAAAAGGCATTTTCTCTTTTTCCGACTTGGTCAGTTATATTTAATCATATTCACTTGCTTTTATTCGTTATATTTGTTGACTAGTATATATATATTGATCACATTTACTGTTGTGATGGTGGTGGCTGTTTGACGTCAAGAGGCAAATGCGATGCAAATTTAGAACGAGAACATGTAAATGCCTGTTTTGTACTAGACATACACACTCAGTCGGATTTTTAACGTGCTGGTTCAATATGAATTAGTCCGTAATAAGATATGGCAACCTAACTGGACAATTATTCTGACTCTGTGCCAACCAGCCATTGTTCTTAATTCTTAATGCTGTAGCAGAACAGCATGGATCAAACTCACGACCTCTCACTTTCAAGGCGAGCACGCTACTACGAGACAACCATGTCGAATACATTTACTTTTGAGTGTCAGATTCCTACCTGAAACACACTCTTTTTAGGCTGGTAGGTATTACAGTGCATTATTTGTCACCTTGATTAGTGTTTGTCCTTTGCTAATTCGTTTTCAGTAATATCTAATTAATTAAATTTTCAAGCGATTCAAGAATTAGCGGGAAACATTAATTTTGTATTAACGATGCGAATGATCTAATTTAGTTGCTTGAATATTTTCATGTGCGGGGAAATATTTTGAAAGACATCACTTTCTATCCAACAGTCGTAATGTCAAGTGTCTTTTTACATTTTTTTAAAAAGATATGAAATGTTTTTTGCATATTCTCAAGTATTTTGTTTGAATCATTATAGATTTATTTACATACTGGCCGAAGTGTACCTCCCCAGTGAAACAGTCTTACGAGCATTGGATTTTGGACACAGGTTTTCAACTTTTCAGCAATATATATTCAGTTTTTATTGTAGTTTGACCGAGATAACTCGTTTTAGTTGATTGCTCCTGGCTGACAGGATCGTCAATTATAGAGATTTTGTCATTAGATGGTATTTGACTTAAAATACAGTATACAGTATACGAGCATTAATTATGATAATATATTATTGTTATGATTTATTGTACGTAAATATGCGTTGTATTCATGTATATTGTTTAAATCATTTATAAAATCCGGCGTCCTTCTAGCTGTTTGGGTAATCGGCAATATGAGTATATATATTAGACTCGTATGGGATTGCTACGTTCAAACTTCATTGTTCAACATGCAAGTTATTGTTCAGGTACTTTTCAATTTTATGTGAATCTTGAGGGTACAAAGTCACTTATCATAAATTTAATGTTACCTACCATGTACTATCCTTATCAGAAATCTGTTTTCTGATATCATCACGGACTTTCTCTAATTTTTTCTCGTATTCTTTTTTCATTTCCTTAAGTTCTGTTTCCCTTTCCTTTCGCATCTGATCTTCCAGTTGCATTTTCGTCGTTTTCTCGAATTCTGCTTGCTTTTCCATGTATTCTTGTTGGATTTTAAATTCGATTTCCCTTTCTCGTACCTGTATTCTTTCTTCTGCTTTCATAAATAGAGCATCAGAGTAATATGCTAATTCGTTAGATCTTTTAAGTGCTTCGATCATTGTTAAAAGACCATTAATTTGCTCATAGCTCTCTTCTTTATCGAATTCATTGTTGAAAAGTATAACACGGTTTTGACAGTCTTCCAGGAAAATTTGGAGACCCATTGGAGATTTTTGTAGATGGTCTTCAAGCTTTAACCCTTTTTTCTGTAATTTATCACCATGAGTGAAAACAACAATCACTCGGTCCTTCATTTCACCTTCGAAAAATCTCAGAAAAGCCTTTATTGCGTTTGTATCTTCGTCTCTAAATCTACCTATTTCCATTACATAAAGAACAGCATGTAAACCTGGCGCCCCAATATGGACGCATCTTTTTATTTCATTTTCAACGCCAGTTGGATCAGTTTCTGTGTCAAATATACCCGGAGTGTCAATAATTAAAACATCTCTTCCAAGTATCCTAGCCTTCTTTTGTTGACATATTTGTGTCAAACTGACAGCTTGCACACCAGATTCGAAAAATTCTTCCCCGCACAAGGTATTTGCAGTTGCACTTTTTCCAACGCCCGTTTTCCCCACTAAAGCAATCCGCAGCTCAGTTTCTAAAAGTATAGATTTTTCCTGATGTTATTTACAGTTGAAATATATGCTTAAATCCACTTTGGGTTCTAATGGACCATTGTCTTTTTGTTGTACATAAAGACTATCAAAATGGGACGTTTACCGAACTGTTTTAGATTTCATTTAACGTAATTTAGGGAAAGCTGATAAATTATTAAGTCAGGGATTTCGTTACCACAAATTAATTAAACCATTTACCAAATTCTTTCATAGATACAAAGATTTGGTTAGGAGGTTTGGCTGTACATATCGCATCCTATTTTTTACGGCGTTGTTGTTTATAAATTCTAAATATTTTTTTTGTCATGCATCCGATTTCACCTTGAGAGATGCACACGCCTGATGAAGCTAGTTTGTCTAGAGAAATATTGCGTATGTCTATTCAAAATCTAATAGAACTTTTTAATGTATCAATTAGCGTGTTTAAGTTATATTCTTAGACATATATATTTGTTGTTTGCATTTTTTCTTTCGAAACAACTTGTACTGATAGAAGAAACCAACTTGAATGACAGTCCATGCTGGTTAGTAAATCTTATACAACTGAGGTAACCAAAAAATACATGTGGCTTTATTAGCGTCGGATTAGTTGCTGAACTTACAGAAAAAAAAACATTTCCTTTTTTGCTGTAATTATTGTTTTTTTATTATTATTGTTGCAGGTGAAAAAATTCGGCTAAGGCAATCTTTGTCTGGGGTACAATATGCAACGTCGACTACATAAAACTACAAAGCTTGGGTTCGCAATGTTGATTGTACCATTAGAATTCTTATTCAAAATCTCTAAGTAAAATAAGGAGATGTTGTATGATTACCAATGAGACAACTATTCAGCACAGTCCAAATGAAGCGGTTTGAGCAAATATCGGTCACCATATACGGCCTTTAACAACTTAGAAAGACTCAAGCCGTAAAGTCAGCTATAAAAGGCCACGACATGACTAAAAAGGAAACAATTCAAACTAAAAAACAATAGCTTATTAATGACAAAATGATAAACGAAAAACAAATATAACAGACAGCAACCAACGACAACCATTGATTTGCAGGCTCCTGACATGGGACAGGCACATATTGAATGTGGCATGGTTAAACATGTTTATGACCGCTCAATCCTCTCCCTAAGAACGAACTATAAAAAAACAGTTGGAAATTGCTGGACTCATCAGATTGGTACGAAACATATAAAACAACTTACATAAAGACAAAAGACCCAAAGTATCTATTAAAGAGTACTCGCAGATACCGAAAGCTAGTTCAAAGCCAATAACAACTAAAAATAATGTTATCCCAGACTAACGTATCAATCAGTAAACGCCCATGGATTAAGTGTAAAGATGTCATAAACAGTCAATGAAAAGCATGACCTTGTACAATCCCAAAATATAAGTGCATAATATCGACAGGATTTTGGACCATAAGTATTCATAAATGTATAGCAATTTCTATTTAGTTATGCTTGAATATATCAAAATCAATTTTAGTACCAATAAAAACAATATTCAAAGATCTCACTTCGGTGTTAAATTTATATCCTTTAAGAATAAATTTATAACCTAAATTATGGGGCTTTATAAACAACCATACCTTCAAGATTAGGACGTGATATTATCGAATGCTAGTTCAAGGCCAATAACAACTAAGAAATAAACCACGTGCTCCTAGTCTAAAGTGCCAACCAATACACATCCAACGGATTTAGTGTAAAGATGTCATAAACATTTCTTATGGATGTTCGCTCCTCTTGTTTTTTAATTTTTGTCAGATATTCAGAATCCTCTGGTTTTATCCATGTAGTGCCAATAAAAAATTTTCTCGCTTACCTCTACTTTTCTTTGCTTTTCATTATTTTATTACATATAGTTTGAAAAGCAATATTTCAAAATCTTATAAAATCCTTGTTATTTTTTTATTAGTTTTTGAAAGAAAAAAGGTGTCAATGCTAAACGTATGAAAAATCTAAAGAGAATCATTTTCAATGACTTATATCTCGAAAACAAGGACATGGACCCGTCATTTTTTTCTGCTTATTTCCTTCCATTATTTACATACTATCAATTTATAACAGTCTTTTCAAAATCTTGTTATTTTGAAAAAGAGGAGCGAACATCCTTAAACATTAAAATTTGAAATAAAATAAAAATGATTTGTTTATGCAATATGTTGAAGAAAAACATAAAGGAAACATTGGAAAGAATAGTTGTGTTTCATTAGTTTAGGTAAATGATATTTTGCAAATAATTCCTTAACACAGCCTAAACCTTTATGAACCATTCAACTATATACCAAAATACATATATTCAAACACATAATTTAAGGTTTGCCGGTTCGCATTAAAAAAAACGGACTCGATCGAAGCATTTTTTTTTTCAAAATCGGAATAATTGCTTTCTTTTTTAATATAGTTTCTGTTGTATTTCACAGGCGATTGATTTGGATAATTTTGCACTGAATATTCAATTTTCTATTTTTACACCACATACGGAACACTACTAAGATTGCCTTTCCTTGTTTCGGACGAATTTATCCACTCTGAAAATATTCCTTATTTTACTATCTAAACTAGTGTAATTACATTATTATTTAGGGGCCAGTTGAAGCAGATACTTATAAAATGCATTTGATAGATATCTTTCTAACTTTTTTATTTAAAGTATAATATATCGTAAAAATTGTTTAGTAAGATTTCCAGGTTTGATGATGACTTAAATTGCTTAAATACAACACAGGCGCTTGGGTACAATATTTAAATATCTTTTTTTCATTGTTTGCACTGAGTATTCAATTTTCTAATTTTCAACAACATACTGAACACTATCAATCTTGCCTTAACTTGTTTTGGACACATTTATCCATTCTAAAAATATTCCTTATTTTACTATCCATACTAAAAGACAAGTTGTTTTTTTAATAGAATAGAGAATGGAAACAAGGAATGTGTCAAAGAGACAACAAACCGTCCAAATAGCATAACACAGCCAAAGACCATCAATTGGTCTTCAATGCAGCGAGAAAATCTCTCATCCGGAAGGGGGCTTTAGCTGGCATAAATAATAATGTAAAACTTATATATTTCATTTGTGTATACGGAATACAGTTAAGTTTTAAGAAATGTCAATGCAGCAATTTTAAAACTTTTATTGCTTTTCAATTTTTAGTTATATATCTATATATATATATCACTATTTACGTATTATTAAGAAACTGAGGTTCTACTCCGTTAGGCAAAGTTGACCTTAGACGCATTTGACTATTCTCTTTATGTCTTTTGTTTATACAGTTCCGTATTATCCGTATGATCCTACGTAATTATACATACCTGACTATCATATGTTGAGATTTGAGCGTTGCTGTTGAAGGTTAACCAAGAAAGGCGCTTTAATAAGCAAAATATTCTCAAGAGTCTGAAATATCTCAACCTACACGTCTATTTATGCATTTGTACTCCAAAATAATGCAGTTTATATAATTTTTTTGACAAGCTTTTAACCTAAGAAGTACCTGTTGAATGTTGTGGCAGAGCAGTGCAGTTACATAAGGATAAACAATACTATTGTCTACTCAATAAAGTGTAGAATGAATACTATTAGAACGAGATACTTAAAACAGCTCTGAATATCTTGTGTTTTATGCTTTACGTGTTTTGATTAATTAAACAAAAATGAAACGAGATAGACATAAGAAAGAGTGAATAAACAATTCTTGTTTAACAAAAGTCAGTTGTCAAACAATAAAAAGTACGAATCATTCTTTTATTTGTTAGGTGACGTATATCCCACAGGCACATTCCCTTTTATGCATAGCAATTGGATGCTTTTTATGTAAATGTTGCTGTTCAGTTAATATGTTAACAATTAACATAAAAATTAAAAAATATAGATATATAAATATTCATCAATAAACAATAAGGAAAAGAAGTGTACATTGTCAATGATACATGAATACTTAAGATTGAAGAATTAAAAATATAGGATATGAAATATATATATGAGGTTTTAGTGAATTATCTATTTTTCCATATTTATTTTGTTACCTTTGGGTAATTTCTGTTAGTCTTGATTCAGTTGGATGAGTTGACATATAATTATACTAATACATAATTTAAAATCATATAACCTACCGATCGCAAATTTGCTTTTCTGTTTAGCCTTTACAGCTTCCAGAGGCCCCAGTACAACCTGGGCACCATACATTATCAATTTCAATCACCAACGCTTTAACTTGACAGTACAGGTATATCAAGAAAATCCCTATTTGGAAGAAAAATCGATTTAAGAATTGTATTGATAAGTTGTTATAGCTGGATATACTTCAGACAGGAAACGAAATATATTGTCAGGAAACTCGGGATAAGAAAAGTAACAAGTTGGAAAATAATTTAGAAAGAAAACAAATATAAATCTAAATACGAAGACAATTATTCAAACAAAATTCCTCTAATATTCCTCTAAATTTTATTTACACTTCTTTTGTCTCTGATTTAAAAACCAATATTTCATAATATTAATTATATCAGAGACATATAATACAATATTGTATTATATGTCTCTGATTATATACACAGAAATTTGCATTACAATCTGAAATATTTTTACACGCTTGGTTTTAAACTGCCAGATCAATCAATAGAATACAAAAATAAAATTGAATGCGCAGAGCTCACAACAGTCTAATAATCATGAGTGGAAGTCATCCACTCATAAATTTTCTCAGCCATACCCTTAAATTTTCTCTTCCACCCTTGGGGTTTTCAGCCACACTCTTAAATTGTCTCCTCCACTCTTGAGTTTCTCATCCACACTCTTAAATTTTCTCCCCCACCCTTGAGTTTCTCATCCACACTCTTAAATTTTCTCCTCCACCCTTGAATTTCTCATCCAGACTCTTAGATTTTCTCTATCAGTATTATGCAGATAACCTGGGACAATGGTGCAACGAAACAACACAAGAACAAACTATTCAAAACAAAACAAATATGAGAAACAGTAATAAACGACAACCTGTTATCAGATTGACCCATTTAATTATATTCTTATCCTTTTTTGAAGATTTTCATTGATATAACTAACCCCTTTACATCTGATAGGACATCATTTTAAATAAGATTGATGTTTTATTTTAGTTGTGATGCTTACAGCAAGATTAAACATTTTTTTCAAGAATGTGAATATAAATATCTATTCATAGTCGTAAATGATTTCTATATATTAAACAAAAAATGTAAAAACCGTATGAGAACTTTACAGACAGAAAATCATCCAGGTAAATGAGAAAACGAAAATAGCATTCACAAAATTACCAAGTTAAGTTAACATTAACTAGAGAAATAAGTTTTCAAAATGATAAAAGTATCTGCCTTATATCGTTTGAAGAAACGACGGACCGATAAAAACATACCTCATATGATAGATAGTTCGACTGATATGCTTTTACTTCCCTGTCTTCTTCTTCTTTAAGTAAACCCCTCCAGCGTTGGAGCACACGCAGCTAGCTGTGTTTCCTTAACGGATCAGTTTAAAAAATGTTCAATGTTCAATGTTCTATATTTATCGTCCAATCAAATATTAAAAATCCTGCAAGTTTCTCAACTGTTTCATAACAGTGGGAAATCTGCAGACCATTTGATTTGGTGAATGTTTCTTGGTGTACAAGTATGTAAATTCTTGTATGTAGTTTAAAATCGTCGAACAAGCAGTACTACTTCTTTAACTGGAAATAAATTGAGTTATTAATAAGTTAATAAAACAATCATTTTAAAAAACCTGACAAATTTTGTTAAGGACCCATTCATACCAAATTTACTTTGCAATAGTGATACATTTGTTTGATCCCCATGAAGTATCCGACATGGCTAAATGTAAAACGTAACTTACTTACATTTAATTAAGGAATGACTGTAATATTTTTTCTGTCTATTCGAAATAACATCAAAAATGTGGTGCACACTGAATAACAAGCTTAGCGGGTTATTTTAAAGTGTGCACCGCATTTTTTATGTTATTTCGAATAGACAGAAAAAATATTACAGTCATTTCTTATAATTTAATTCTAAATTCCATTTAAACCGTAGTAAACCATGAAAAAAACGTTGATGACGTCACGGTCACATGACAAAGTTATGTCTATGAGCTGATGAACAAAACAACGTCAGCCAATCAGAAGACGCGTTACATCCAAAATTAAATTATAAAGAAATGAAAAAAAATCATTTAAAAGATCGGTAATGGGCTAATTTTATTAGATAACTTAGGAGAATGTATGATCCTCTTTACGAATCTCACAGTTATAGTCCCAGACATATATGGCGCAGCTTACTGGCTTAGTGCTTCTAATAAACATTCTTCTAAAACAATTTATGATTAATGTGGTGGAAACTTACCAGACTTTAGCGACATCATTATATCAGAGACTTTTCGCTTCAAATCGAACGCAAAACAAACAAACAAACAAACAAATACTTTATTAGAGTCTCACCTGTTTAAAACATTTGATATAAAACATGATATAATGATAACAGATCAATTGATAAAATAACCACTCTAAAAAGAGTTAGGAGAGACTGTAAAACACACATTAAAAATACATTTATATTACATATATAACATATATCAATATATCTTAGCATAAAACACTATAATATTAAAAAGCAATTCTTTTATAATCCTAATCAGAAGATAAAAAAAACAAAACACCATATACAGTTATTACGAGTATAAAATACACTTTCTCTTAAAAAAGTACTTCATGGCAAATTTTGGCTGTGAAATAGCAATTCTGTCGTTGTGAAACATAAATACAAACTATTCCTCATTACACAAATCATTAAAACTACTTTCTATAATACATACATTGTTAAAAGGTCGTTCGCAAATCTGCGTATTCTAGGCATTCTAACAACACATGTTTTTCATCTTCAATCACATCTAAATCATTTTTTCTACAATTCAAACAAAACCTTGCATTTACACCTATACTTTCAGATCTGCCAGTTTCCATTCTAATTGGAGCAACACCTGCTCTAAATTTAGCATATGCAAACCATATAATAAAATAAATTATTATGACCTAGATTCTGCGCCATAGTATCCAATACAGTGAAGGATGATCCAGTCCTTCATCTTCTGTTGAAATTCCAAAGGCACATAGAACATACCTATGATTATTCAGGATTTTCTTATTGGTAAGTGTCGTGGAAGTATATGTTAAGTTCCAAGTGAATTATCAATACCTAATTCCCTTATGAAGCAGTTTATGTAATGTGATTTACACATAAAAACGGAGACTATAACAATATTCTAGATATACTTACTGAAGGTATGAAAAGATGATTGAAGCTTTTATTTTTCTCTTGACAACATTTATTTACAATACAGTGTATCAAGGTGTATATAGTTTGTAGGTATTCCTATGGGCACCAATTGCGCCCCTGTAATAGCAGATTTGTTCTTGTACTGTTATGAATCACAGTTTATGGACAAACTCAGTAAAGACCCCTCTAAATTGCATTCAATTGATAGATCCAACAACACTTATCGTTATCTTGATGATATATTTCGTTAAATAATCAAGAATTTTCTAAATACACTGCCAAAATATTACCCAAAAGGAACTTACTTTAAATAAATCTAATATAAACGGTAATAACTGTACTTTCCTTGTTTTATATATTTCAGTTTTACACGGGAAATTCTACACAAAAATTCACGACAAAAGGGACGATTTTTCTTTCCCTATTGTTAATATTCCTTTTTGTCGAGCCTTCGACTTTTGTCGAAAAAGCGAGACATAGCGATCCTACATTCCGTCGTCGTCGTCGGCGGCGTCCACAAATATTCACTCTGTGGTTAAAGTTTTTGAAATTTTAATAACTTTCTTAAACTATCCTGGATTTCTACCAAACTTGGACAGAAGCTTGTTTATGATCATAAGATAATATTCAAAAGCAAATTTTGTAAAAAAAAAATTCCATTTTTTCCGTATTTTACTTATAAATGGACTTAGTTTTTCTGCCAGGAAACATTACATTCACTCTGTGGTTAAAAGTTTTTGAAATTTTAATAACTTTCTTAAACTATCCTGGATTTGTACCAAACTTGGACAGAAGCTTGTTTATGATCATAAGATAGTATCCAGAAGTAAATTTTGTAAAATAAAAAAATCCATTTTTTCCGTATTTTACTTATAAACGGACTTAGTTTTTTCTGCCAGTTAACATTACATTCACTCTGTGGTTAGAGTTTTTAAAATTTTAACAACTTTTTTAAACTATCCAGGATTTGTACCAAACTTGGACAGAAGCTTGTTTATGATTAAAAGCTAGTATCTAGAAGGAAATTTTGTTAAAATTTTGTTCCATTTTTTCTGTATTTTACTTATAAATGGACTTAGTTTTTCTTCCAGTTAACATTACATACAGTCTGCAGTTTAAGTTTTTAAAACATTTATTAGATTCATAAACTATCCTGGATTTTTACCAAACTTGGACAGAAGCTACTTACAATCAAAAGATAGTATAGAGAGGAATATTTTTATTATTTTTTTTCGTCATTTTTGTTGAGACTGCGATTAACAGCAAAAGTAAGCGAGACACTGGGTTCCGCGGAACCCTTACGAATTTTTTATGGTGATGTTCCTTTGGCACCATCTAACGGTGTTTATATATCACAACTCGTTCGCTATGCCCGTGTCTGTAGTGACGTTTGGATTTCAGTGAACATAATCTATGTATTACTGGTAAATTAATTCAGGGAATGCGTTACCACAAAGTACTTGGAACCTTTACTGAATTCTTATTTCAAACGGGAGAGCACATCCTAATTTTTACGGAAATGTTTTTTACCGAGCCCGGAAATTTAGATACGATCCAGGTTAATTTATCGATCCTTTAAATAAACTTATTCTAAAAAGTTACCAATTCAACACTGTAATTGGATCTTTCAATATTGTTTTCATTGGTATAAATATTGATTTTATTATCAGTAAATTAAAACCAAACTAATGTTATTCTTATATGCATATACATATTCACATTGACGGTTCTGCATTCTGTCGATACCTTGATTTTGGCATTGCACAAAATCAGGTGTTCTCGGATTGTTAATGGCGTCTTTACACTAAATCCATTGGATGTTCGATGTGTATTTGTAAGCGTACTTTCATTCCGCCGTGTATTTATTCCGGGTAACTGTTTTTCACTAGAGAATATTGGATGTAAATAGTGTGAAAGCGTCGATCTTGATATTGTTGTTTTGTTTATATTAGACCGGTTTATTGTTTACATAAATAAATGGGTTAAAATTAAAATAATTTTCAAGGAACCAGTTTAATTAATCTGAGTCAATCTAGTTAATAATATTGATGATTACGAGGAGGATATTTTTATAACTCAAAATACTTTATCAATGATCAGGACATTGAACTTGATATAAACCAAATTTAAAGAGCAGATTTGTTCTTACATAAAGTTTCAATTATAGAAGCATCCTTTGATATTGACAAAGAAGATATGATTTTATATCCAAGTCGACCGAAGAGCAAATACACAGAAAAACTTCGGCAATCCAATAAATATAAATATTACAATTAGTGACAATTTAAAAGCATATGCTTTTATAGATTTGCATAGAAAAATTATTTAAATCTTATTCGTTAATAAGCATTATTGTGTTATCGTATGTTCAAAATGAGTACTAATCACTTCATCAATGTATGGATCTAAAGCACTAGTGTAATTAATCCCGGTATAAAATAACTAGTGTAATCATTCCTGGTTTAAAAACGCTAGTGTGAACATTCCTTGGATGAAAACTCTCCACTTTTTATATAAATCAGCTATGCAAGTTTCAAATACACTAAAAACTATTAAGCCACGTTTTATATATATTTCCACTTCAAAAAACCTTTTTTAGAACCTTATAATGACTGGTGGATGTTTTACACTGGACCCGGATAGAAAAACCTAGTGAATTTTTGTTGGAGGATAAAAATCACTGGGGATTTTCTTCCTCAGGGTAAAGTACACTGGCGGAATCAAACCACTGTTACATATTCATTGATATTTTAGTCTAAGATACATGCTTTTTTATTAGTTGTTAGTTGCTTTGAACTAGCTGTCAGTATCTGCGAGTATTCTCAGATCTGTATTTAGTGTCTTTTTTTGTTGTTGTGGGGATGTATAAACACCCTGTCACGTCCGGTCTGTGTTTTTTGTTTCTTTGTTTCTGCTTTGTATCGATTTGATGAGTTAAGCCCTTTTCAACTGATTTTTATAGTTTGTTCATATGTTGTGCTGTCACACCACTGTCCCAGGTTAGGGGGAGGGTTGGACGCCTGCAAACATGTTAAACCCCGCACATTATGTATGTGTCTGTCCCAAGTCGGGAGCCAGTAATTCAGTGGTTGTCGTTTGTTGTTGTATATCGTAAATCAATTGTTTTTCGTTCTGACATTGTTGTGTACATTAATCAGGCCGTTAGTTTTCTAGTTTGAATTGTTTTACATTT